GTCTTTTTAAGCTCAAAAGGAGTTAATTGGCAACATATTGAGAACACAGCCCATTTGAACAAATGACCCCACATTAGCATTCTCAGGTCTTTATTCCTTAGCTTTATTACATAAAATATTTCCTCCTTTCCACCTGGAAATATATGATAAGCACTGCTTAATCTCTTTATTATAGCAATGGCTTATTGCAAAGGGAAGCTTTCTCACATGATGACATGATTTAGGATGTTCTGCTGGGAGTGCTATTCAATACCCTACTGGTTGTCCAATTTTAAGAATACTAAGAACTTCTTGCATCAGTTCAGACTCTGACAAGGCACTGTGCACAACTACTAGGAACCTAGAACTGCACGTTGTAGAGAAGAAACATAAAAGAAACAGCGATAAAATGCTAATAGAAACAGGATTCAGGAAAGAACAAATGAAGTTAATTTTCCAAATACTTTCTTACCAAAATGATACAACTCCGAGTCTCATTTCTCTATTTCTCAGTCTTGCATTATGTTATGTGAAAATTGCCTGGGTGAAGACAACACAGGAGAAAAATAATTTTCTTGCTTTCATAACACAAAACAACTCAAAATATTTTCTTCTAGACTGGGACTTCCAGATTGGCACCTCTGTCATAAAGGAAGTTACTTTTCCAAAAGTCAAAGCAATTTCAAGCAAGAAATTACACTGAAAGGTGCTAGGAACTCTGAACTGAAGCATTTATCGTTGTAATTCATGTGTGTTAAAGTCTTTTTAAAATGTCACCACTAGAATCTAAATATTATCATCTGTTATATCTGTAAATGCTGTAATACTTCTACCCAGAAAACATATTAAGGAAAGTGAAATTAGTCTTTTTCCAAAGACCAGCTTGACAAACCTAAATCCCTTTCTGCAAGCAGATCAAGATATTCTAAAATTTACATTTATTGAACAATGTGTACATTTATCAAAAAAAGTTTTTAAAAATAAGCATTTTTGCTTAAAGAACAAAGCTGAGATATTAAAACAAGTACTAAGCAGAAAAAATACTAGATATAAAAAGTAAAATATTTGTAATCCAGTGCTTCCAACACTTACGCAAAATTGTGATATCCATACACGTGCCAAAGGGCCTGGTAAGGAGGTAATCTTATCCTAGAACACCAGTCCCACCTAGTCCCAAACTGCCTCAGCCACTCTCCCTCCTGGTACCAATTTTGCTTCCTCCTTTATTGTCCCACATATATATTTCTCACAAACCTATTGATTTTTCACCTATCTTTAAAGAGCATTTCAAAGACAAAGCCATGACATCTATATTTATGAAAAACACCTACTACTCTTAAAAATGCTAGAGATGTAACTATTTTGTTAAATGTAAGATTCTGCTAGTTACTTGCATTGTAACTTCCACATGTAGTGCAAAACAGCTGCAGTTTCCTTTTCTCCATCTCTTGATTTTTCTCTCACACAGAGTGTGGGGAAGAATCACACTTCGTCAAAATAACACATTCCTTGTGATAGAAAGAAACAGAGAAATAAGTAGTAGTATTTCTTCACCTCAAACTCGAAAGCATAAAACAAATACAGTACAACTGTAAAATTCTTCATATAAGGTTCATTATTAAGATATCAATAGCAAAGGAGAGCTTTTATAGATGCAAAAATGTTAATCAGAACAAACACCGGAGGAATAGCCATGTCAAAAGGCAGACACTATCTAATCCAAGGTCATCTTTAATGAAGCATGGCCAGCAGAGACATACTGTCACGTGGCTGCACTAACTAGGGTTCAGTTGATGTGAAAGATGTGACAGACTCAGAAGAGCAGCTCTACTTGCCAATACAAAGGCAATGCTGCTAGAAGAACTTCAGACAGAAGGGCCATCAGCAACAGAGTTCCCCAAAACAAACCTAAAGCTTTCTGTAAATCAGAACACACAGAGACTACATCACCCATCGCTGAAACCCAGCACCTCAAGCACTGTCATGAAATCCTTGCTCCATATACAGGACACAGCATATCATATAAAGTGAATTATATGATTACTAAACCAATTAAACCAAAGATCGGTAGCTAAACCAAAAAAAAAAAAAAAAAAAGAGAACATAATTCTGCTTAAGTCAATGGGACACAACAACACAAGCAGAATGGGGAGCAAAGTTGAAAGGCATCCTCAGAGCTTTGCCACACCAAAACTGTCCAATGTCAGTTCCCATTTAAACTGGATTGTGCAAAGGTTTTCCTTTGGTTCTCTTTGTATAAATTCATACTCTTATTTTCTTCTGAATTTAGAGAGGTAAGAATACCCAGAGCAAAAAAGGCCCAAACAAAATAAACCCACCAAGCGAAGCCAGTAGTGTATTATTTTAGGCTTGAATCATGCGTTTCCCCACTCTTGCTGCAACATCACTAACTCAACTTTCAAATTAATTACAGGTGGAAAGTACCCAAAAGCAAATAAATATTACTTAGTTCATAACATTTTTTGCATAGCTGTCTCAGCATTTTTAACCTTTTTCCATATAGCTGCTTACCTCATCACAGATATGCATGCATTATACACCATTTGCTTAGACAGCTTTTCACATAGAATATTTTTTAGTTTCATTAGACACTTTTTGTTTAACGTTGCTTTACATTTGTTACCAGACATGTGAAATCTCCACTTCTCTGTAAAGTTATTCCAAATGTGTCTAAATTAATTTTTGCACCATTGCTTTAAGTACAAATTCTTCTGTACAAAGAACTTGAATGCAAAAAACAGGTGCTGAACTTAAAAAAGAGGTGTTCTACAGAACCAAAATTCAAGTTTTGAATCTGACTGGTTGTTTGGGCAAAACTACGCCATCCTATAGTTGCACTGTGCTTCTTCACCAGTTCATCTACCCTACTACCATGTTAGCAGAAATGGCATGTTTTGTGAGAGGAAGACACATTCCCCTTTTTCCCATTCCTTCCTTTTGCTCATCTGCAGAGTCATCCTGCCTGAAAAAGTTTTGGAGTCTGATTTGCCACTTTCTAAGTACTTCTCCAATAATTTTCATGACATATGTGATTCTAGTGGGAATGAAGGCAAGTACATGTTGTTTTCGCAGTGCTTAAAATCTTAAATATTAAGTCCATGATGTACGTTTTCCACCTTATTTTAGTTTAGCTAGAAATAGCTCCCTTTCCCCAAACCTAGAAGAACTGCAGCCATGAAGTGCTCATTATTCAATATGCAATTTTAGAAAGGAAACAGTCCCTAAGAAAGATGACAGCTCCGCTGTGGTTTGGCATCAGGCCCAGCCTTCAAAAATGCAACTAGTCAGGAGGAGCAGCAGAAGCAATCTTCCATTCTCAAAAAGGAAAGGCATTTTTCCAAAAGAGGCACCTTTAAAAAGGATCAAAGTGAATGTTGGGTCTGGCCCCAGGCACCGTAACAGCTTCCTCAGCAGTAATAATCTCCTAGATAGACAATTTAGCCTGCAGATCTCAGAAGAACAGCCAGGAAGAGAGCATCTAATTTACAAATTAGGAGGGAGGTCTTAGAGGTGGTATACAGAGAGAAGGCCACTGCTGCTCACAGTATCAGAAGGGGAAAGGAGAGATTTACTGATGTGTTAGTTCATCTGGAACCAGCTGTCATGGAGTTCCAAGAAGGAGCAGAGGGCTGATGATGATGAGCAACAAAGGACAGCAGACAAGAGCAGGCTTTCCTTAGAAAGAAACTGCTCTGTCAGATTGTCAGGGCAAGTCCTTCCATCATAGCAAAACAGCAACTGCAGCAACCATTGCACAGAAGTGTTGGAGATGTGGCTGCCACATTTCTGCTCTGCTTCTGCTTGCCCTAATGTCCCTAACAAAGATATCACGCCTGTGAAACCATCCATCAACTGCAACTCCATGGCAAAGCAAAATGCACAGGTGGTATTCAGCTTTGACAACATTACCATGGACCCTTTGACCAAACTCTTCTGTCACTTGTATTTTTGTACCTATGGATTCTTCTCAAGTACATATTCATTTTTTTTTCCCAGTGAAATGCCTGCTGCTGCTCCAGCTCTCACCCCAATTCTACAAAAATCTTCGCTTAAAGCCAGTTTACAAGGAAGCTTCTTAATTGATTTTCTGGGACCATTTACATTGCCTACCTTTGGCAAATGGTCTGGATAAGAGAAATTGTTAAAATAGGTGTGCAAGTATAAGTTATAGATGTGGAACAAACACACAAAAACTAAGACTGCATTTGGCACAAACAGATCATGTCCAAGAGGAAGACAATTATCATCTGGATTATACTGAGGAATTACAGGGAGGGTTTTGAAATAAAGGAGTCACCTAGAAAAGATGGAATAAATAAGCAGAAGAATTTTTAATAATTTAGTACTGTGGCTTATCTGCTGTATTCCGATACTGAACGTATAATTCACTGATTCTCTGTTGATTATGTGTTGTTAATAAAACAAATGACTAGTTAAGAAGTTAAGAATGAATTGCAGAAGCAGGAGGAGATAATAAATCAGAGGCTGACGAGCTTTCCAAAACAGGCTTTCCATCAAGAGGGCAAATAAGTTTCATGCAATGCATGAATATTTTTATCTTAATATAGTGATAGTACAGAAAGCACATGCCTCAGGTTTGCACGAAAAGAACACTTCAAAACAAACAAAAATCCACCATACACACACCCCACCAAAACTGATCCCTTGACATGATTACACGGTGCAATGCAGCCCTGAAAACAGCGCGGCTGATGTAGCAGCAGTTAACTCAGTTTCTCTGCTGAAAGCCACTAAATGTAGCTTCTAGATCTGGATAAAACCGAGCTGGTGCCAGTCAAGAGCTGCCCCCTGTTAGAGGCATACCCACAGAAGCTGAGTCTTTACAGCTCAGAGCATCCAAAAGCTGGTCTAAAACCCATGACATTCTCTCCTAAAAAAATCCACGATAAAGCATGAGGAAAAACAGCAGGACATATTCTAGAGAATATTGAAACAAAGAAGACATAGTCAATAAAAGTATTCCTGCAATCCTTGCTTACCTCAATGACTTAAAGAGAACTTTTACAGAAGTTTAGTCAGTTACTCCTGCCTTGAAGATAATTTCATCCACAGAACTTCAAGCTGTCCTTTGGCCTCTTCGGAGAAGACAGCAACGTATTATGGTCCCAGGCAGAGCACAACTGCCTGGATGATCATGCTGAGGACCTGCCATATTCAGTTAAAATTCTACCTTGCAGATTCTCAAAGCTGCTACATTCATTGGCTTTCCAGGTACTTCCATTTTAAAAGTGAATTCTTTACCTGAAAAGGGGAATCAAAAAAGCAAAATTGAAACATTACAAAAACAGACAAAAATAACTCCACAAGACACATCCCAACACACACATATCTAACACTTTCTACCATCGCAAAGCTTTACTAATCAAGTCTAACAGATAAGGATTATTGCTTTATCTCCCTATATACCACAACAATATTTAATCGCTTCTTTTCCACTAGTCTCAATGTATGACTCTCCTGCAAGAGCTGTTAAATGGAAATAGTAGTGGCATAAGTAAACCAAGAATAACTTAATACTATCGTCAACTTAATTAAAAAAAAAACTTTTTTGCTTTGTGCTAAATATAAACTTTGCCTCAAAACAATCAATGCATATCTACTCTATATCTTCTATGAGAAGGTTGGTTCAGAAGTCACTGCTGAATGTTGCAACATTTCAGCTAAAATACATACAGAAATACCCTACTAAGCACAGAAACACACCATCAATCAACAATTTTAAGTTACTTCAAGAGTATGCACGTTGTTTTCAAATTTCCATGAAAAGGTCATAAAATTCTCGAATGTAATGTTCTGTTTCAAGAATGGTCCTTTTAAACAAAAAAAGTCTGTAATCATTTCATAGGGATTGAAATTTTCAGGAATGCAGCTGTTCCAGCATGCAGGCCATAGAGACTACATATCCAAGTATTTTACTAGACTAACATGATTACTGGGAAAGCAACCCTATATTCCAATAACTTGAAAGATTCCAATAACAAGAAATGCCTGTTTTTAAGTCTTAACATCTCAAGCATGGAGATGAGGTGAACCTGTAAACAGTTTGAGGAAAAACCAAATGAAACCCACTTACAAAATTGCAGTGTAACACCATTCAATAGTCCGCATCACTGCACACATGAACTGCACAAAGTCTGTAGCTACCTAAATAGTTTTCACAGCCCTAGGGGAGACCAACAGGCCTTACTGGTCCTGCCCAGCCTCCTCACCCCTGGGGCCCTCACATGGGGCTCTGCCTGGCCACGGTTCCCTTCAGCAGGCCTGACCCAGTTCTTCAGGTTGACTTTCTGGCTTCATCTTGGACCTGCCTCATCACCACCAACCTGCCTGGCAACCTGGGCTCAGGGTTGATGACAGCTGCCATCTCCTAACGGCAGCCAGATGAGACCAGACCTGCTGGCCACATTACCACCCCTTGTGCCCCGGCCCTCGTTGTGACCTGGCTTTTAGTAGCCTCTGCCCAGGAGAAGTCATACTTGTCTCAGCGATAACCACGCTGAAGGCACACGCTGGGTTGTTGAAAACAAACCCTTCCTTAATCTGCTTCCACCTGTTATATATAACAAGGAACTAGGTAATAAGCGGTCGGTTGACACAACAGTATGCTATAAATGACAGCCCATAAAGCTCTACGATCCAAATCATGTAAGTCTCAAAGGAGCATTGTAGCTAGAGCTAGACATTTGTCCTCTAATTGTTCGGAACAGTTATAGTGAGTGATATGAAACTCCAATTTATCATTTGCAAGCTCCTCTATGAGTCCTCTTCACCAAGAGGCCTGTGTTAGGAGTTAAGGCACAGCAGCTCCTCTGGGGAAGGACACAGCAGAGAAGGAGATCCTCAATGGTGTGGCAGAGAACAACAGAGTTGGGGGAATTCTCATTTAATCTCAGCTCCATCTCTGCATTCATATCATCAGCTCTGCTCCTCAAAAATCAACAAATTAGAGTTTTGCTAATGATTCAGAACAGGTTAGCAGCTGCTGAAGCACATCTAAATTGAGGACATCTAGGGAAAGCATCAAATTAAAGCAAAGAAACTTGGGTGACAGTTTGAAGAGTAGCTTATAAAAGGTTGGAAATCAGTAGCTACTGTCAGCACCTATAACCATGACATGGTCACGAGAGAATCAACACAGAAAAAAAGTACTACCTACACACTTTCAGCTCAAATTTTATATTGTAACATACAATTACAATATACTTTGCACGCTAACAACATATTGCGCATGGTGGGTCCTGGCCTCCTGCAAAGACTATTGTCCACCTACGTAGTCAGAACTATATCGATGCGTTACTACCGAAGCCACAAAACAGTGCCATATTCATCCTTGGAGGGAAAGATTATCTAATAGGAGCCTAACGTCCCATTCTGTCCTCACTCTGTGATGATTTAAAAATAAGTGCCCAAATGACAGAAACATATTGGTATGAAAGACAAGTGCACAGCCTTTGATCATAATTTTAAAGAACTCAGTTTTTATGATGGAGATCTCAGGTCTCATATTCCACACTCCTTCTGTGATGATAAGCAGAAACGGGTAAAAGGAGATATAAAAATTCAAAAGGCCCTATGTGGAGAATTATCTACTATTGTATGTATTCTTACATAAGGAGAAAATAAAAGATAATTCTAGATTTGATTAGAAATAGATCCATCACTGTTTTAAACACAGGAATATTTTTTAATCCTCATTAAAATGCCAACTTTTTTTGAGAAGACTAAGTTTTGAAAGTTTAATAAGAACTGAAACAAAAAGGATTTAAATCAAAAATTTAAATTCAAAATCACCTGAAAGATGAGTGGTTTCATTTTAAGCTTTTGATTCCAATTTGAATGCAAAGTTAGAAGAAATAAAGGGTTATTCTTAAGCTGTCAAAATTGAATACATCATTTTAAGACCCATTTTTAAATTTCTTTCCCTTTTAAAGACAGTCAAATGAGCTGTTTCTTGCACAAAGTTTTGAATTTAAGCAATCAAGATTTGATTTAAAAATCCTCGTCACATACAGTTTAATCTTATCCATAATATAATAGGCCCCGATTTAAAACCTAGATACATGGAAGAAAATAAGCATATTATGAAGTTGGCCATCAAAACATGCTTCACTTTTAATGCCTTTTCCATCCTGACATGGAGCATTTTTTTGGTCTTAAAGAATATTAAGGGGGGGGAGGGGAGAGGGGAAGGAGGGCCAGAACATCAGTTGTTTTTCATTTTCTTGTCACAAGCAAGCAAACAAAAACTGATCTGAGAATTACTTTTTTTTTTTTTGCTTATGCAAGCATCTTAATACATCTTACAATCCACAACATGGTATTCGCATAATTCTGAAATCATATATCTTAGGTTTTAAAAAACAAAAACTAAAAATCAGATGATATTCCTTCTTGCCATCCTGTTGATCAAATTTTTATATTATACTTCCTTAAGGAAGATTGACAACACTGACATTAATAATGGAGGTTTCAAGAAAATGAATGCTTCTTATGGCACCAAGTTGTGTTTTGCAGATAGGCACGATAATTACATTTTCTGCGATGTAAATGCACCCAGCCTCTCCAGAGAGGCAGAGAGGTGTGCTAGCTTTAAAAACTTCCAGAGAATGGGAAAAAAACCATTTAGCATAGGAAAGAACATTTTACAGTACTGGTTTCCTAAACAGTAGTTTCTTTAATTTCAGTTTGTAACAATGCAGGATCAAAAGTGCTGCAGACTTTTTTTTTTCCAAATAGTAACCTATGTTGTCTTATACTTAGGCCAGACATTCTTCACTGTGAGCTAATGTACCTTTAATTCAGTGCACGTGAAAGTGTTACTTTAAAATCATTGACCAATTCATCACAACAACCCCAAGCATAGGAAGCGTAATTTTTCTCTGTTTTGGAGAAAGTAAAATATGGACACCTGAAACTTGTTTATTTGCCTGAGCTCTTTCAACAAACAGACTGGCAGGAGTTGGAATAGAACCAAAATATACCAAGTTGTCCTCTAAATGTAAGACAACCAGGTTCTACACCAGAACTATACAGAGCTGGAAGGTAAGAGATGGGTTATCAAGACCACAGCTATATTAGACTACCAGGGTCTACATGTGTTTTTTGTTGTTGTTTTTTTGAGGGTTTTTTTTTTCCCTCTCCACTCTGATATAATATTGCACTGAATTGTCATAGCACAGGTCTTGCAGAAAAAGCATTTCAACCTTGTCCTGTAGCTAGCAAGAGCCTATTTCGTTACAACAGCAACAGTGAAAGCTGCTTCCTTCCCTCAACACTTGCCTCTCCTTCAGACCCATAGCTTTCCTCGAGAGGTTTTAAGGCCGGGAAATGAACCAGTCCCCTCACTCAGCAGGATTGCAACAGCTTCCCCAGGGGCTCCAAGAGGTGATGCCACTTACTTTTGGCCATGTTTTCAAAGTTTGCAAGAGAAAGGAAGCCGAAATCAAAATCAGAAAAACTTAGCAACGATGAGAACTATTCCCTAATCAAGATGCTGCCTACAGAACCACAATAGCACTTTTACTGAACAACCATAGAAGAGGAGCAAACAGATTTTTTTCTTCTGGAGTTTCTGTACCAACCACAGTTCTCATTCTAGAGCACTGCAGAAACTTTGTAGCAATACAGAGGTGGGCAATAAAAGGGGCATCTTAGCAGTTAATCAAGAAAGGAAACCTCAAAGCCTCATTATTAAGTAAACTAGATATTAAATCATGCAGAATCAAAAAACTAGTTTCGCAGTTTTTTGGTTTGTTTTGTTTTTATACATGAAAAAGTAAGCAATAATGAGCAGGAAAAAGATATTTGCCCTGATAGCTTGTCTTAAAGGATGCAACACTCCTGCCTTCTCCCCGTCTTCCCCAACTCAGATAGACCACACTCCCCTCCCTTCCAAATATCTAAAAATTACATAAATACTTTGACAGTATAAATTATCAATCAAGGTTCAAATGCTCCACACTATTAATTCAGGAATTAATGTGGCAAGCAAGTGTTGAAAAGGCAGTCAGGCTCATTCCATGTCTCAGCTGCCTAATAATGCAAACAGAGACTGATGTATTCTGCTTATTGAGAAATGAAAAATGACTGCCTGGTTTGCAGGGCTGAATATGATAACCCCTGAATTTGGGGTGAATGACACATTTTATCTTTTATGTGAGTACTACATGATTGATAGCAGTAACACAGAATGCAAATGTGGAAACTGTGCATTGCATCAAGTTTCAAGCAGAAATCCAAAT